TGGATTCTTAACCACTGTGCTACCAGGGAAGCCCATTTTGCACATTTTTTAATCGTTGTTTTTTTTTTATATTGAGCTGTATGAATTGTTTATATATTTTGGATATTAACCCATTATTGGTCATATCATTTGCAAATATTTTCTCCCATTCAGTAGGTTTTCTTTTCGTTTTGTTGATGGTGGCACGTGGAGTTATTGATTTTAATTGTCAGGTGTTTAATGTCACCCATGGCTTGCCCAGCCTGTAGAATAACTTGCTGAAATTATTAAATGCTTTCATTCCAACACAACAATCAATAGAATAATATAATCCAGCATTTCGTATTTTGCAAAGTAGATTGAAGTTGGTATGCATCATAAACCTGGCAAATATGTGAGCCTTGTTATTTTCATTCAATAGCATCTTTAAACCTTTAAGATGGGTGCAAACTGCTGTTATGGGACAATCTGGCCTGCCACTTGTTTTTGTAAATAAAGTTTTATTGAAACATCACCACTTCCATTTGTTTACATATTGTCTATGGCTGCTTTCCACACAACAGCAGAACTGTGAAGTTGCAGCAGAGACCACATGGCCCAAAAAGCTCAAAATATTTACTACTGACTGTTTACAGAAGTTTGACCATCTCTCCTCTAAGAGGTAACATCTTCCATAGTCAGTTTCAGAATCCCCATTAGTCCTGCACTTGGGCCTTACTTTTGAAGTGAAGAATGAAAAGGTAGCAAGTGTGTTGTGAATCTCTCTCTCAAGAGTACAGATATTTAAAAAAAAAAAAAGTACAGATATTTTGTTTTGAATAAAGAATAGGAAGAAAGCTAATAAAATTATTGTTTGTTTTCCTAGAAAATATCTTAGGCAAAGTTTCCAGCTGGCCCTCTTTGTGACATAAAATTTACGGTCATGTGTTTATGTGTTTTCAGGCACATTCAATAGTAAATAACTTAAAACATCTTATGAGAAAAAGCAATCATTCTTAAACTTTTGGTGGTTACCGACTCTTTTGGTTACCAGCAAAGGCCTAAAGAGCCTCCCTTAGGGCTAAAAATGGGCAAATGCACTCAAACTCTGTGCATAACCTCAAGCGTTCACAGAGGTCTGAAGCGTACCTGTACAGTCCAGGTAAATTACTCTTTTACTGACTGATGAGTCTCTACAGGCAGGACTCCAGGCACGAGCTGGTCCGAGGAGGGGGATGTGGAGGGTCCCAGCATGCACAGAAAATCACACCTCAGAAGCAGCCTCTTTGTTTTATAAAAGTAAAGCCTTAAACGGTATTTAGGCTGCAGACACTAGTGTTTGGATGCTGGCTCTACATGATCTGAGGTACAAACAAAAACCTTTGTGAGGGCTTCCCTGGTGGCGCAGTGGTTGAGAGTCCGCCTGCCGATGCAGGGGACGCGGGTTCGTGCCCCGGTCCGGGAAGATCCCACATGCCGCAGAGCGGCTAGCCCCGTGAGCCATGGCCGCTGAGCCTGCGCGTCTGGAGCCTGTGCTCCGCAACGGGAGAGGCCGCGACAGGGAGAGGCCCGCGTACCAAAAAAAAAAACCTTTGTGAGCCTCTGAAGTGCAGAAGCTGCAATCTGGTGGTTAGGGAATCTCCAGTAATAGAAGGCAACTGCAGAGGTCAGGTGATAAACGTCCCAGAAATATGCAAACACTGCACAGCTCTGAGAGTTCCGTATGGGCCCCACACTTAATTGCAAGGACTTATCTCTTAAGTCTTTCAGTTTTTTCTACCCATTAGTGTGCAGTGCAAGTCAGGTTTGCAGAAATATCTCTGCAGAGGTAGGATGTCACATACATTTAAAGCAACTGGAATACGGGCTTCCCTGGTGGTGCACTGGTTAAGAATCCGCCTGCCAATTCAGGGGACACAGGTTCGACCCCTGGTCCAGGAAGATCCCACATGCCGCGGAGCAACTACGCCCGTGCACCACAACTACGGAGCCTGTGCTCTAGAGCCCTCGAGCCACGACTACGGAGCCCTCGTGCCGCAATTACTGAAGCCCACGCGCCTAGAGCCCATGCTCCACAACGAGAGAAGCCACCGCGATGAGAAGCCCGCGCACCGCAACCAAGAGTGGCCCCCTCTCGCCGCAACTAAAGAAAGCCCACGCACAGCAACAAAGATCCAACACGGCCAAAAATAAAAAGGTTAAAAATTTTTTAAAAAGTAACTGGAATAACTAAATGATAACCCACCAAGTTAAAGATGGGAGACAGGAACCCTCCGATGAAGTCTCCACTGGCATGCCAACCCACACTGCTCAGGAGTCCTTGCCAAAACTGGTGTTCATCATTTGCATATAAGCTTTGTTTATTCACCAACGGAAGAGAGCGGGTGATTTGCAAGTACCTTCTAAGTTGAGTAAACAGTTGTGTGTTATTCCCTCCAAATTCAATATGTGCTCCTCTGGTAGCACCAGAGGGTGCTCCTCTGGTAGGGTCCACTTCTTACAGAAATCTACTTTGTGGACGGTGGGCACCCTAGACTGGGGAGCCATAACTTCCTTGGGATGGAGTGGCCCACATCACAGAGTACCTGTTCCCCAAGCCCAGCTCCTAGATGGTTCCTGTATGGTTTTATGGGTGTGGAAGGGGTGCAGAAGGAATTGCCAAAGATAAACTATAACCACCCGGAGAGCCCTGTCACACCCGTGTCAGGTTACATTGTTTGCTAGAATATTCCGGGAGAGCAAAGCCTCACCACCTGGGTAGTTAGCCACGCTGTTTGTCTGCAGGCATCACAAAATGCTGCCCAGATCCAACATAGCAACAGGTTTTAGTCCTGATGAAGTAAAAATAAACAAGAAAGGTAATAAACTTTCGCCTTGAATGTTTGGTGATTCATTGCTTAGCCTTGATATTTTCTCTGCTAAATTATAATTGTTTCTACAGGTATGTGATCAGTTTATTCTTTTTTCAGTGTGAAAGGGAAAAAACTGGGGCACTCTCCATCTGCAAGTAGCAGGGTCCTTTCCCCTCTGGCCCTCCCTCTTTCCTTCCCTCTCCCTCTCTCTCTAAGATTGGGGACAGGTTAGTAGCAAGGGGCTGGACTAAGAGTTAAAGAAACTGGGGGTCGACTTTAGCTTCAAGGTTGCTGAGTTGCCTCAGGCAAATCCTTTAACCCTATTGGGTTTGTTTCTTCAGCTGTAAAAAGAAAGCTTAGGAGGAGATGGTTTCTAAATCCCCTTCTAGCTCTGAAATGTGATTTTGTGATTGCTTTGGAATACCTTGGGACATTCAAAGAATCTTTGACTCCCACAGAGGGAACAGAGTTCCAGGAGGGACATGGCCTGTATATTATTTAAACAATGGAATTTCAATAAGGCTTCTCCCATTAAGGCATTTGGTGCAGGCAAGCATTTTATAATAAACTTCCCATGAGCTCATTTAAAGCGCCATTAAAAAACAAACATATTTTGGGACTTCCCTGGTGGTGCAGTGGTTGAGAATCTACCTGCCAATGCAGGGGACGTGGGTTCGAGCCCTGGTCCAGGAAGATCCCACGTGCCACGGAGCAACTAAGCCCGTGCGCCACAACTACTGAGCCTGTGTTCTAGAGCCCACGAGTCACAACTACTGAGCCTGCGTGCCACAACTACTGAAGCCTGCGAGCCACAACTACTGAGCCTGCATGCCACAACTACTGAGCCTGCGAGCCACAACTACTGAGCCTGCGTGCCACAACTACTGAAGCCTGTGCACCTAGAGCCTGTGCTCCGCAAGAAACCACCGCAATGAGAAGCCCGCGCACCGCAAGGAAAGGTAGCCCTCCACTCACCGCAACTAGAGAAAGCCTGCGTGAAGCAAGGAAGACCCAACACAGCCATAAATAAATACATAAATACAAAAATAAATAAATACATAAATAAATTTATTAAAAAACAAACATTTTTTAGAGTGAGCTCCTTCTAATTACCCACTATTAGAGCTTCATGTTTCCTTCCAATCTTGAGTTCTGGGCATCTGCAGATGCCCAGGAAATTGTAGCTCTCAAGAAAGATAACTGGTTTGATAAACACTGTAGATACAATGACTAAAGCATGTAAACCAGATGGATTTGTCCTAATCTCCCTTCCTGAGTTCTTCCCACTCTCCTGCATTACAGCCTCTATCATTTAAAACAGTAATGTAAAAGGTAACATTTACCCAGTGCCTAATTGTCAAACACTGTTCTAAGGGCTAACACTAAGCATAGCACTCACAATATTCCAAGTCTTACATTTGTTAATTTAGCAAGTTCTCCCTGCAGTCCTATAAGGTAGGTACTTTTATTATCTCTATTTAACAACGAGGAAACTAAAGCACAGGCAGCTTAAGTAACTTGTCCAAGGTCACACAGCTAAAAAGTGGCAAAAGCAAAATTTGAAGGTGGTAGGGCTCCAGAGCTCAGACTCGCAACCATTTTACCATAGGGCATTAGACTCGGCATGCATGAATTCAGGAAGCAATGTTTTATAACAGAAGTTTTTAAAATGTCATTTCATCTAGTATTTTATCATCCAAGCAAAGGCTAATCTAGAGATGATTTGGAATGACAAAATGATTTCCCTCTAATAATCTTTCCATTTAGTAATCTTTTTATTTAGTTAGTTATTTATTTTTTTGCGGTATGCGGGCCTCTCACTGTTGTGGCCTCTCCTGTTGCGGAGCACAGGCTCTGGACGCGCAGGCCCAGCAGCCATGGCTCACGGGCCCAGCCGCTCCGCGGCATCTGGGATCTTCCCAGACCGGGGCACAAACCCGTGTCCCCTGCATTGGCAGGCGGACTCTCAACCACTGCGACACCAGGGAAGCCCTAGTAATCTTTTATGCTGATAATAATCAGCATAAAAGCAACAGCTCCAAGATTTTATGGACCAGCCAGAGATGTTTCAGTAGTTTCTTTTTATCTCTGCTCCCATAGTGAATTTCTGAAAAAACTGCCAGAAGGAGTCTATTTTAAACCAAGTTAGGGAGCCTCAGCCTTAGCCTCTCAGGCTCCAACCGGGACCTGCAGCCCGAAGCTGCGGAGCCGCGGCCCCAGGCGCTGCGGTCTCAGGTTTCTTTACCTCCGGAAAGAAAACAACTGACACCTTGCATCCTGGAAGTTCATTTAAGAGACTGAAATTAGAGACTTCTTTCAAATTTGGACATGGCTAATCGAGGAGCAACAAGACCTAACAGGCCAAATACTGGAAATAAAATATGCCAGTTCAAACTAGTACTTCTGGGAGAGTCTGCTTTTGTCAAATCGAGCCTAGTGCTTTGTTTTGTGAAGGGCCACTTTCATGAATTTCAAGAGAGTACCATGGGGGCTGCTTTTCTAGCCCACACTGTGTGTCTTGATGACACAACAGTAAAGTTTGAAATGTGGGATACAGCTGGTGAAGAACAATACCATAGCCTAGCACCCATGTACTACAGACGAGCGCAAGCAGCCATAGTTGTATATGATGACACAAACGAGGAGTCCTTTGTCAGAGCCAAAAACTGGGTTACAGAACTTCAGAGGCAAGCCAGTCCTAACATTGTAATAGCTTTATCAGGAAACAAGGCTGACCTCGCCAATAAAACAGCTGTCAATTTCCAGGAAGCACAGTCCTATGCAGATGATAACAGTTTATTATTTCTGGAGAAATCAGCTAAAACATCAATGACTGTAAATGAAATATTCATGGCAATAGCTAAAAAGTTGCCAAAGAATGAACCACAGAATCCAGGAGCACATTCTGCCAGAGGAAGAGGAGTAGACCTTACTGAACCCACGCAGCCAACCAGGAGTCAGTGCTGTAGTAACTAAACCTCCAGTTTAAACTAACTGGAATGTTCTTCTGCTTCCTAATTGTTAATAACAGTGGAATTGGAGCATTTAACCAGCCCAGTATGACTTCCAAAAAGAAGAGACTTACAATAGGCAAGTTTCTAATACAGAATTATTTTAAGTGTTTTGAACTTAATTTTTAATAACATACATGTGACCCTCTGACTAATGTTTTAGCAGTGGAAGGGGGAAATGAGAGCTGGGTGTACCCTTGTTTCCTTGGAAGGTTAGCGGGACTCATTTCTCTTCACCAGTGATATAAACAAATGATTCTGAACCCACAGTTAACCAACCAGTTCTGTGAAAAAGATTTGGAACTTACTCATTTGGACTTTTCCAAAAAAATTCTTTCTTTGGAAGGAGGTTCTAAAGATATTTATGCTTAGCTACCATATTCAGGCAACCTGTAATTTCTCTTAGTATCCTTATTTAAAGTATACATTCCACATTTTAACAAATTAGCCACAAGGAAACAGTCCCACATCTTCAAGGGGAAAAAAATGAACATTAGTGGCATCTAAATTACAGCTAGTCCTGTTATTTTTTAAATGGGGTAAAAAAAAAATCAAATGTAACCGCGTCTTATTTTAGGAGCATGAAAACTAATAAAATGCATCTTAAAGGATAGTGTTCCCTTCAAACATGTAAATTCATCAACAAAAGTGAAACAAACCAGGTGTCTGTGATTTCTGTTTAATCACTGCTGGCCATTACATAGCTTTTGTAGTTTGGGAGTAGGGAGGGGGCTTTTGTGCCCTTTGGACATAAACATAGTCAACGCACTAACAATTATGTACATTCAAACTTGATTATTTTAAATTCGATTCTTCAGCTGTACTGTAAATAGGGTACTGCATTGCAGTCTCCATATATGTTTATTACTTTTCTATAATATTTAAGAGTTGCCTAAAAGTATACCAAATGTACAGTTACTAAAACAGCTACTTTTTTCCTTCTCTCCTCCTTTGAAAGGAAGGGACTTCAATTGTTCCTACCTGGCTAGAACCATAATAAACAATGTACCAGTAATTTGTAACATAAGTATTGGATATGTTAGTAAAAATCTTGCAGCCTTGTTTTCCAAAGTTCATTTTATTTTGATCAGGTCAGTATATTTGCACTAATTGTTTTAGGTATTTTCATTATATGAAGTCTACCATGTGTCAGAGATGATTTAATCTATTTAAGTGTTGAACTGCTAGCAGAACTTGTACATTCACAGTAATTCAAAATTAGTAAGGAAAACATTTCACCAGGGTTTAGTTTTATATTGAGGTACTCAGGTTGGGATATAGTGGTATAAAAAACAGAAAAATTTTTTTAATTAGAAAAAATAAACCAAGTTAGGGTTCACAGGTCAGGTCCTTCCATTTAAGGCAGTTGAAGCTACAGCCTTGGAGGCTGACGTTAATTTCCCCAGGTGACGTACATTAGGTCTACCCAGAAGTAATAATCATAACGGGCATCCCTTGTGTTCACACATGTAGCCCATGGATCCTCTGACAAGCTTATTTTAGAGAAGAGGAGACTGAGGCTCAGAGTACTTGACATTTCTCCTGGGACAGCACACAATGAGAGCCAGAGCTGAGGTATTCGGACTTGCAGCGCTGGGCAATTTCCATCCCACCCTTTAAACATATAGGCATCAAAACATCTGCCAAACTCGTTCTTGGAGGAACCATTTCAAAGTTCTTTGTTTTAAGAATCTTCGATATGGATTTGTTGAATGGCCTCTAACCATCTCAAAGCCCAGTGAAATGGTCCCTTCCTCGAAAACATTTGCTTGGATTTAGGGCTGGGTAGGTGGGTGCCAGCCTAATGTTTTTGACCCAAATGATGGATTTGGTGACTGAGATGAGAGATCATTTAAATAGCAATACATTTAAAGCTGAGTATTTCAATCAAGTGAAAGGGAAAACAAAGCGTTTTCAATCTTTGTATTTATCATTTATTGTGATGGAATTTGTGATGAGTCAAAGAAAGGTTATGGAACAGCAGCCTGCATTTGTTCACCAGACTTAGCATGGGAAGGTCAAGCCATCCTGGTTAAAGTTAAAAATTAGTTACCTTTCCCCATGATACGATTGAATAAGCACATTAACAGTTTATAAAAGAGGTTGTGAAACCTCCTAAGGGGAAAAAGAAATATTATGTAACCAGTTTAGGGGAGAGACTTGCCTGATTCCACCTCGCAGTAGGGGGTTGAACTGCCTGACTGGGAGGTTCATTCCTATTTCAAAAGTATTATTATTTCTCCGGAAGTGTTTATCTTTTATTGCTAATAACACTTTACTCTCCACTTTCTTTGCTCTGTCTTCTCAATCTACGTCACCACCCACACCCTGAACCAATATAAACATCTACCCAACATCGGAGCACTAATCTTTATTAAGTAAAAGCAGCACCGTCTTTTCTGCTTACCAACAGGGTTATAATCCTTGAACTGTCATTGGGCCAAGCTTTATTGGACTTGTGGTTAGGGTGCTTGAATATCTATTTAAATCCAAACTGACAAAATACATGTGGACGTCAATTAAAACAATGACACCCAAAGGTATATTGAAGAGCCACAAGAAGTGTTTAGGATTGTAACAGCCCTGCTACCTTAATAAGGAGAGTCTGTTAAGCATTTATACATGGTTAGTAGTAATGTCATTCATATATTTTTTTCTAAAAAAATGTTCATCTACTATAACCAGACAGTAAGGGAACTGATGTATATATCAACTTTAAATTGTTTAAAAATATCCTGCCTTGAGGGCTTCCCTGGTGGCGCAGTGGTTTAGAGTCCGCCTGCCGATGCAGGGGACACGGGTTCGTGCCCCGGTCCGGGAGGATCCCACATGCCGGGAGCGGCTGGGCCCGTGAGCCGTGGCTGCTGGGCCTGCGCGTCCGGAGCCTGCGCTCCGCAACGGGAGAGGCCACAATGGTGAGAGGCCTGCGTACCGCAAATAAATAAATAAATAAATAAATAAATATATCTTGCCTTGGGCTTACCTGGTGGCGCAGTGGTTGAGAGTCCGCCTGCCGGCCGGTCCGGGAGGATCCCACATGCCGCGGAGAGGCTGGGCCCGTGAGCCATGGCCGCTGAGCCTGCGCATCCGGAGCCTGTGCTCCGCAACGGGAGAGGCCACAACAGTGAGAGGCCCCCGTACCGAAAAAAAAAAAAACAACATATCCTGCCTTTTGTGATACTTGTCATCATTAAATATGTATTAGGTTGCTGGGTAAAAATGCTCTAATGCTAGATTTGTGGTAGGAGACAGAATGTGAAGTTCTACCTACAGTGGGAATTCAATTAAACTTTTTAAACAAAATTATGGCCTTCAAATACATGAAAAGATGCTCAACATCACTAATCACTAGAGAAATGCAAATCAAAACCACAATGAGGTATCACCTCACGCTGGTCAGAATGGCCATCATCAAAAGATCTACAAACAAACAATAAATGCTGGAGAGGGTGTGGAGAAAAGGGAACCCTCTTGCACTGTTGGTGGGAATATAAATTAATACAGCCACCATGGAGAACAGTATGGAGGTTCCTTAAAAAACTAAAAATAGAACTACCATATGACCCAGCAATCCCACTACTGGGCATATACCCAGAGAAAACCATAATTCAAAAAGAGTCATGTACCACAATGTTCATTGCAGCTCTATTTACAATAGCCAGGAGATGGAAGCAACCTAAGTGTCCATCGACAGATGAATGGATAAAGAAGATGTGGCACATATGTACAATGGAATACTACTCAGCCATAAAAAGAAACGAAACTGAGTTATTTGTAGTGAGGTGGTTGGACCTAGAGTCTGTCATGCAGAGTAAAGTAAGTTAGAAAGAGAAAAACAAATACCGTATGCTAACACATATATATGGATTCTAAAACAAAAATGATTCTCATGAACCTAGAGGCAGGACAGGAATAAAGACACAGACGTAGAGAATGGACTTGAGGACATGGGGAGGGGGAAGGGTAAGCTGGGACAAAGTGAGAGAGTGGCACTGACATATATACACTAACAAATGTAAAATAGATAGCTAGTGGGAAGCAGCTGCATAGCACAGGGAGATCAGCTCAGTGCTTTGTGACCACCTAGAGGGGTGGGATAGGGAGGGTGGGAGGGAGATGCAAGAGGGAGGGGATATTTGTTATACAGCAGAAACTAATACAACATAAAGCAGTTATAGTCCAAAAAAGATGTTAAAATAAAAAAAACAATTTTTAAATGTGAACAATCTGTCCTCTATATTCTTCCAGAGGCAATATAGATGGACTTTAGTCCCAGTTCCACGTATTACCAAGGAGATTTTGGCTAAGTTAGTTAACCCCTCTGTATCTTAGTTCATTTGTAAAATGAACATAACAAAAGAAGTTGATTCAGAGAGTTGATGAAGATCAAGTGGGATGTTTTTGTCTTTTGTATCTCAGTGAACATTCAATATGGTTTAGCTATTTTATATTCCATTACTAATAGTTAATGCTATTGATGGCTGAACTTGTACCAGGAAGCTTTGTTACAAGTACTTTACTCATCTTACCTTAATGATATAACAATCTTTTGAAGTAGGTAGTTTTATCCTGGTTTTATAGATAAGGAAAATGTGGCACAAAGATTTTGAGCAATGTTTCCAATGTCACAAAATCACTAAGTAAGAGGGCTAGGATTTGAACCCAGAAAGTCTGGCTCTAAATCTCTTTTACGTAAGTAGTGTGACTAGACAATAGTAATTCTCAAGTCATTGTACTTAACTCATGGCAGGTCAGTGATACTGAAAATTGTCAGCAAAAATTTGAAGCCATGGGCAATAGGTGTGTCTAACCAAAATACATCCATTAGAGCCTAAAGGGTTTTTTGTTTTTTGTTTTTTTGTTTTTGTTTCTCTCACCTACAGAAAATGTCATTGGAAAAATAACTAAAATAACTGAAAATGAGGTGTTGCCTTATCTACCCATCACTCCTGAAAGAAAAGTAAAAGAATTCCAAGTTTTGGGTTTTGAAGAGGCAAGTCAATACATGAACATCAATACATGAACTTATTTACAAAACAAACAGACTCACAGACTTAGAGAGCGAACTTATAATTACCAGGGTGGGAAGGGTCGGTGGCGAGGAATAGATTGGGAGTTTGGGACTGACATGTACACACTGCTATATTTAAAATGGATAACCAACAAGGACCTACTGTATAGCACAGGAAACTCTGCTCAGTTATACATGAATCACTTTCCTGTACACCCAAAACTAACACAACATTGTTAATCAACTATACTCCAATATAAAATAAAAAGTTAAAAAAAAATCAATACAAATAGCCAAACGACGTATGAAGAAAATGTTCATCTTGATAGTAATGTGGTAATAGTAACACGCAGTGTGTGTGATCATGGGGAGGAGCAGCAGAGGTTCAGGGTCAAATGACCTTCCACAGGGCAGTTTGACAGAGTATCAAAAACCTTCAACAAGGTGACTTCCCTGGTGGTGCA